TACGAACGAAACTATTTCTTATAAATGAGACAATCTTTTGGCGATCGATGGCTGACCAGTCGTTAAGGATATACGAGACAGTCGTCGCACAGTAAACGAATCGCATGTCATTCTCCTTCTCATAGACTACGGGAACAAAACTATCGACAAAAAAGTTATCACTTTTAGCGTGTATTTCGAGTGTCGACTCTTTCGTATCATATCATACCTGCCATCACTTAACTGATGCTCTTTTAAGCCATCGATAATCTTCTTCTTGTCGACCCGTTTCAGGTCATCGCCGAGTATTAGAAGCGAAGAGAGGGCACAATAAGTCATCGCAAGGTTTCCGCAGTCGTAAGGGTTATCCATACCATTGGCTGCCGAACCCCTAAACCCATGGCGACCGCAATGACCGCCGCTTTCATTATCTTATATTCAATTCACAAATTAATTAAATTTATTATTTCAACAAAACATGTCATTTAAACAAACTTTTAGTGACCAGAATCTGCAACGAATAGATCCATTCAATTATGTCCCGCTTCTGGGGTTCAATCAAATGAAGACAATCCAAGAGATCGAGTCCTGAGATGGCGAAGAAGGCGATGGTTAGGCTAAAGACATGGCAACAAATCAACGATAATATTAATCATCAAATGTAACAACACTTGAATTGAGTGCTTCAATACCGGCTGACATCGAGAGTGGCCAAAGAGTGTGGCAGTACTTCCAGACAGCGTTTCAAATACTTGCCGTGAAGTCGATTGAATCCATCTCTTGTCCTGTCATTCCTCAACACTTCCATTCAATTCACTGCTAATCAATTAAATCCACAATTCATGCAAACCTACTGCACATCACTTCACAGGCATTACTAATGCATTGCAAACACAACACTCTTCATATAGAAATCAATTACGATATCATAATATAGACCGTAATTAATGGTGTCTTTGAGTCCCAAATATAGTGTTTGCAAGCATTTGATCCCATAATCATGTCTTGGCTGTTGAGGACGGGTGTGAGGCCAATGAGTGGTGTGTTGTCGTGGATGGAACCGATACAAGTGATGAGTTGTCGGCATAACGTTCGCTGGCATTTCGAGAAACCCAATGAAGTGAAACGGATCCGAACCCATGGATGGCTGAAGAGGATATCCACTCCGAAGGGCCGACAGATTATAATGAGACGCATCCTTAAAGGCAAACAAGTCTTAAGCCATTGATTGCATCCACCAATGAATGGATGAGTCAATCGCTATACCTCTCATACATCTAATGTTTATTATTATAACTATAACT